CATATATAGAATGTTTTAGTTATTTCGCAACCGATTCAAAAAAGGTACATCATGTGTTAATCAGAGATCCAATGGGCTTCGATCTGCATCCAAAAGTTGTAAAATTCCATTCCAAAAAACCACCAAATAAATATTTACATTAAATATTAGCTTACAGTTGGAAGGCTATGCTTGGATCAGCAATAAAATGTATTCTATCAAGGCGTATGCATAAATGGGGAATTAATGTCTGGGCATTTCTGGTATGCTACGAATACTATGTGTGTGCCACTCTGGAATGCCAACAGGTCAACCGCTCAGTTCAATTAAGACTTATTAAAAGTGCTTCACAAAGCAGGAGGGGACTGAAGTTTAGGCAGTCAATATTTGGAGGAACATATTTGGTGTGTATTATAAAAAACTAACCGAAATCCGCTCCTGTGCTTGCGAAAAAGAAATCTGAAATTGGAATCCAAGGGCCACCTCCCGCAGTTGACTCTGTGTCTTTGTCCGGGTACGTCAGAGAAAAACTACTTCTGAATATACAATATGTTTAATATATGTCCAGAAACATGAACGCAGAATTAATAGAGTCCAGTGACTCGAAGTTAAAATTAAAAAAAAAACTATTGCATAATAATTAAACACCGCTTACAACACAATTAAGCCACTCGGCAATGAGAGAGTTAATTATCATTATCGTTGTCGGACACAAGGACCTCCAAGGGTGAGTGGAATGCATATATCGATCAAAGTGAATGACGGATTGAGTGAACAGGCAAAAAGTGCAGCAATAAATAAAACGAGCTTCAGCGCAATTTGTTAAACCGAAGCCAGCCAGAAACGGACGAGTTAACTGGGGTCAAGCCCCTTGACCTGAAGGTGTAGCTTAATGTTTGGGTCTGTCGCCCCGCACACTGCAATCGTTTCAATGCCTGTCGTCATAAAGCACGGTATTATAACCCCCTTTCGAAACCTAGTTTCATTGAATGGAATGTTTTGTTTGGCAGATCATTTGTGAAGAGTTTAGAGTTTTCTCCCCATCTAGGGGTTTTCCGCAAAAAACTATAAAAATAAAGCACTTCAACGGCACTTATATTATTATACGGATTGCACTTCAGGCTAATGCTCTCAGTGCATCGTTAATTACTAGTTTAATAAATAATTAGAGGGCGAATCAAGGCGAGGCTAATCACGGGGAGCACTGCCGTATCTGACGGCTACGCCCAAGTCGATGTTGGGGCGGATAAGGGGTTTCAAAGATTTCCACAATTAAAAATTACACAATTCTAAAACCATTAATTTATAATCAAAGTAATGTGACCTATATAGGACTTAATGTAATACAATAACTTATTCATGAATAAAGCCTAAAATATGTAATTTTAGTTTTTGAAGGGTTGAGCCTAAAAGTATGCAGGCACTTTTTAAAAGCGTTAACATCGACTCATTATGTGGCTAACAGAGATGTTGCCTTTCGCAATTAACTTATTTAAACAAATTCCATAAATTACCCTTTTAGATGATATGAAAATTAACACCCCATCTTGTAAACTCTAAAGAAAACCCCCCAAGGGAATAAAATCATAATGTCTGCGGGTAATTATTTCCATTCCGACGCTTTCGACAGCCAAAAGTTTTCATTTGTCTGCCATAAGCGGGCCATAAGTATTGGTCGCGATTGCGCAGAACCCTAGTGCCTGGCCCGACCTGTCCTTCAAGTGGCAGTTGAAGGTACAAGAAACAAGCACCAAGTTGGCCAACGCATGCTTGGGCCTGTGACTGGACAGCGACAACGTCAGGCCTTCTTCTAGGCCAGCCGTCTGTGAATTATGGGCCGTTTTGTAAGCCAGTTTAACGTCTGGCTGCGAGCAATTGAATTAATGGATATGTAAAAATTTCTGCACTTCATGTCATATTTTGGCAATAATCTCGCAGCTCGCAACTATCACGGGTACATTGTTTTCGGCTAGGTCATATTTTTCATGGGTCTGGCCCGTGCTGTCTGATTTCCGATTCGCCTGGCAATGAGATGCCGTTTGATCTTCTCGATCTGCGACTATACATATGGGTAGTAACCTCTCCGTGTCAGACCCCGACACTCGAGACCTGTTTTCGTTTTCGTTCAGGTGAATCAACTCTCAATGTGAAGGATGGTGTCTGGTTCTGGTCACACCCTTTCTGGGGTCCGTGTCACACTCGTAAAAATGGAAAGAAAAACACAACAATATCAATTGAAAACAGTATTCCAGGTTCAGAGGTTTGTATTAGCTATCCCCTGTTTAACCAAGAATTAGTGACGAGTGCTTGATAAACAGTATCTTCAATGGTTTGTGGAAATTGGCAAGAAAAGCGAATATTTGGGCTTGGCCAGATGGGGGTTTCCATGTCAGACTATTCCTATGACATTCTACTAGGTCCGGAATATTAACAACTGGGTGCTAATCATTTTTATAATCCAGTACATGTACGTATGTATGCAATAGCTTTTGCTTTTCTTGGCCCAGAAACAGAACTTTAACCAAAACATTTTGATTGTCTAGAAATACGTAATATACTAGAAACCAAGCTGCCGTTTACTGAACAACAATTAATAATTTTAAGCAAATTATACTTGTTTTTATCTCGGCTATTCGGCACTTGACCATTTTGGTCTCACCATCAGTACCTAGTGCCTAGTACCGAAAGCCAGCATGCAGTTAAGATCACTATCTGGCACTTAAATCGAACGTGCCGCTAACTAATCACCCATTTAAACTGCGACTCCGACTGCCACTCAATTTTGTGGCAAACTTGAACTTGCGATGAGTCGGGCTTGGTAAAAAATGGAGCCAACCAACCAGTAGGGTAAATTCCTCCTCTTCCACCATTCAAGTGGAGCGACTGCGCGGTGGCAGTTTGGATATTTTTAATGTCCCTTGTGGCCTTTTCCGCAAATGCTGGCAATTATAATTATAAACAATATAAATTAAAATTTTGTTTGTCGAAAACAAACGAGCACAAGTGGTCCGACAACATGTGTCGCCGTCTCAGGTTATCATTGTCGAATGTAAAACGCAAACATTTTGCCCGCTTAAGTCTCGGATTTCGGTTTCACAACTGCAATTAAGCCGTTCTTGTCAACTGCAACCTTCGCTGGGCCCGTGAAGCCCAGCGCCAGCCCAGACCTATTAGATAGAGGTCTTCAGGGCATCCTTGGCCCGAGCGGGTACTCGCAACTGTGCCAGTTGGTAAATACGGTGCATCGCAGTTATTTCCGAGCGGGAGTTTGCCCGCCACTCGAGGAGATCTTCAAGTGGTCTCGGATTTTGACCCAGCTTACATTGAACCGGGAGAAAACAATACGGCTATCCGGCTATTGTTCGGAAGAGCTTCCTTTGGGGCGGCATGTGCCACAAAGACGAGCTTCCGGTATCGGTCATGCTACTTAATGTGCTGAAATCTAAAGTAAGCAAGGCGCTGTCATCAATCATCATCATCGGCCGGGCAGAGGTTGGAGCTTGGAGCTACCTCAACGCACATGTAGTTCCCAGATCACTGCAGCTTACTGGATTTTCATGTTAATTACTGGATATTCGTTGCATATTCGATTGGCTATTTATATAGGCAAACTGGTAGAATCATAAAAGTAGAGTCAATAGGTTCCCTTATATAAGAAAATGTTTATCTTATTGTTTTATTGATACCTGAGAGAAAAGTTTGGTTAATTCATATACCTCTCAGTCCTCCTTTAAATATAGGGCAACACGCCATGGTGTTCTATTAATAAAATAGGTTCCTTATTCCTTTAGGAACTTATGTTAAATAATTAAAAGATACCAGGGGTATTGTTTTTTTGGAGTGTAAAAATTCCAAGAAAATGTACCCAAGAACGCTATGATCCCAGTTAAGTATCTATTCAGTTATTGACGTCCTTCAGCTTATAGCTTTAAATAAATCAACTCAATTAAATTTACGATCAAGTTCTTGGCTATAAAACTAACCTGCATCTACATACACGTTACTAATTAAAGAGATCAGATCCCGTTCTCAATAAACAGACTGATAGAACGTCAACAACGAAAGGTATTATTACTACGTCAATGCGTGAAATGCGATCATAACATTTGGAATTAGTTCAAGTAATAGTGCTAGTAATAGCCAACGGGGGCAGTCAAGCCCCCATCGGGGTGATCCATAAAACAATTGCGCTGTTTGGAAAATTTTCCACCTTGGTTAACCGTTGCTCGAATGAGATTTTCATAATTTTCACAAGTTTGCCTTCAAGGTGTATAATTTGGGTTTATTGCTAGCAATTGATAAGCACTAAGATGCATTCACAATTAGCCTTGGTAGGGCTTCGGATTCACGGATTCAGAGATATCACAGTCAGAGGAATGGGAGCCTCTTACCGTTCCTTCCACAACGTCGCCTCGGATATCCCTCAGAAAAACCCCAAAAGTCGGAAATACTAAGGAAGCAATAAAAACTACGTAAACGTCAAGTTCACTTAACTAGAACCACCAAAGGCGATAAAAAGCGGGTCGAGAAAACAAAGTAAGAAGCGAAGCAAATAAAAAGTAAAGAAGGTAACCCAAACCTCGGGTGACTCAGCACAAAGACAAAAAATCCCCCAGCCAACGATCGAAGGAAAAGTCTTGGCTTCTGCTCTGGGCCGAAACTCACCACGACTTAGCAAGAGCAGCACCTGCGTTTTGGCCAATTGCCAAATTTCTGATACCTTTAAGTCTAAACAACACCGAGGATTGCAGCACACAAACACAGTCAGGTATTTGCACACCCAGAAGACTCAGATACAGATACAGATATGGTTGCAGGCAGAGATACAGATACAGATACAAAATAAAGTTCGGCTTAAGTGGAGAGATATACTCGTACTTAGTCGGCGTACGATCGCTGCCTGCCCGCTCTCGCTGTCAGCGTCGCTGCCAACGCCACTGCCGCAGTCGACGGCGAAGTCTTGGGGGTTTTAAACAAAAACGTCTTGCCCAGACGACGGTCCATTCATGCGAGTTTTTCATTCCGACGCGTCAACTTTAAAGCGACACATGCTCCGGAGCGTGCGCGATCCCAGTTGCCACTCAGAAAATCCCAAGAATTCCTCCGCCGACGAGTGTCTGTGCACAAGGACAATACCCAAAAAACTGATATAATGAGTTCTTGATACCAAACAGTCGCCGCAATCAAACCTCATTGGCAACAATTCAATTAGTTTTCGGTTGTGAATATGCTAAAAATTGAGTTCTGACCCAAAAACAAACGACACCCCCGCCACTTCCCAAATAACCCAGATTGAAAACTTTGGATTAGCCGAGCGCCACTAAGAATTTTCAAAACGTAAGTGTCAATGGGGCGTATGAGTTATGGTTTTCTCGCGCCTGAGCTAATGGGGCGTATGTGCAATATTCCGGGCAGGAAATTAATAAATATCGAGTGTGGTTCGATTAATTATTTTTGCCGTGTCAAGTTTTGATTTAAAATAAATGAGCTTCGGTTAAAGGTTTCGTGGCTTAATTAAAACTTTATTTTATTAAGTTATACATAACATTAACCCCTATTAAGCAGCTACATATTTGCAGATCTAATGTGATCTAACCATTTTGGGCTCAACAAAATTTGAGTTAAGAATCAAATTGTTTGATTAAAAGCGATTTCAAGTTGCAATTAAAATTATCAAATTCCTCAATTTAAATGCAAAAATAGGCAAGGCCCGACCCCCGACCTTTGCAATCGAAATACAGTTCAATGTGCGCATTTTCATTTGATTACAAAAACATTTAAAGAGCTGTCAAAAATCTCAATTATTTCGCCGTCAAAAAGAGCAAATCAATTAAGCTGATTGTGGTTGTTCAACAGCCCCGGGTCTTATCAACTGGCGGAGGAATATGTAACAACAGTCAGTATATCAATAAGCTGTCCGGAATCCATTTATAGACAAATCGAAACTAATCCGAAGGCCCTTGCCCAATGTGTTTTCCAGCGAGCTCTTCGCGTTTCGCCTTCGCTTGTTTGCTTTAATTTATAAACAGTTTTGGTTTTTCTCTGGCTCATTTTTGCAGTCTGCAATTAAGTGTAAACATTTTGCAAGTTATGCAAAATAACGGCAATGTGGTTATGACCGGTCATTTCTCGCCGAGTGCGGAGTCTGAGTCCGACTCTCGGCCGAGTGCATATTTGGGGTCTTTCGATCTGCTTTTTTTTTTGGCTCATTTCTGGCGGCGGGGGATTTCGTAAATATGCAACCGCAGACACGTACCAAACTACCGAAATCATGTGTTTTCCCCACCCCTGATTAAGTTTGACCCACTTGGACCCACAAACTTTGGGTCAATGTTAAGGTTGCCCGAAACGGTGTGCCCTTAGGTCGCTGTATTTGCCTCTATTGGAACCTGCTTCGTATCTAGTTTATCTGCGAAATATCGCAATTGGTTATTGGGAACTCTGACTTTAACATATATATTTAGCACAGTTTTATGACTCCCAGATATAAAGCGGGCTTTCCCCGAAAGAACTTATTTCAAAGCTGAGAGCTCCATAAAAACAGTTCATGGAATTGTTAAATACCTTGGTATCCAGGTTTTGCGACTTAGGACTATTTAATCATGCCACCTTTTTGGCTAAATCCCAATCAGTTTCACTTTCAACCGAACCGCAGACAACGGCCCAACCAAAATTTCCTAATTCGCCACTTAGCCAGCCAGCCAGTCAGCCACTCATCCCTGTCGGCCATCCATCCACCTATCTATCCGCCCACCAATTGGCCAGCAAATAGGCACGGACACAGAAGTTGTCTTAAATTAACCGCAAGCTTTAAGGGGCGAAAAAAAAAACTGTTAAGAGCCATAGACGTCACACAAAAGGCAACAAAGTGATCGTTTTGTTGTTGGGGTACTTTAGTGTTGTTTCCCAAACCGTTAAATTGAAATATTGACACGAGTTTTTGATGTGTGTATTTTTGTGTGAATCATTTGGACGAGAGGCCCGCGGCAGGCCAAGCACACTTGCTAATAACCCGAACATACAATGTGCGCAGCCGCGAATGTATCTGTATCTGGCAGATACGTTTACATAATGAGCGGACCAGGCTCAGCAGATTGGTGGCTCTGATAAGCGAGAGAAATTGGCAAATTGCCATTTGCCGGCTCAAAGTGCGAGAAATCCATCAATCGCCGAATTCAGCCGCAGGCTGGCCGCACAACAAGTTTTATTTTTAATTCAGTAACTTAGGTCAGGATTGAAGTCGCCGGCTACAACCATACAACGATACAAAGACGACCTTGCCGGCCTAATTTCTCTGACAACCAGATCAGACCCTTTTCAAAAGTCGCCAAATTGATTCATGACTTGGATGGAATAAGGTGCGTGAGCAAAAATGTTTTTTTCCATTTTAACTTGGCTTTAACTTGACTCACCGGCCAGTTGGAAATTCTCGGGCGTAATTGGAGCATTTCGCGAATGGTTTCGGTTTCGGCAGAAAAAAAAACTCCAAAAACAGCCCATAAAATGTTCCCAAAAATAGTATATAGAGAGTAAGTACGTATAAATTACAAAACACTCGACACAGCAGCTGCAGTTGGCGCTGCCGAGTATTGGAAAATGTTTGCCAATAATTTTGTTGTTGATGGAGCGGCTGGCCACGCTTCAGTGATTGGCCACGGTTTTGGCCAAGTCTCCGACTAACCCGAGAGACGATAGTAATATCGTCAGCGACGAGCCTCGCAAACAATTTACTTAGTGCTCTGCCCGCTCTCAGCTTGGTTTGAAAGCGGGACTAATGCTGAAGCGGATATTTTACCTAATTTGGGGATTAAAAGGCTAATTATTACAAAAAAAATATAAAGGAACTACTTAAAAGCTTAGACATAAAAATAACAAAACAACTCTAAATATATATTCTTAAAAACTTCTTAAATTCTTCGTCTTAAAATCCTTCGCTTACCCTTGACGTGAGTCAAGTTCGTTTCCTAAGTCTTTTGTTTTGATATGGAGCTTCTTGCTTTTCGGCATCCAATTACAACATTTTGCATTTCTGAAACAACAACAATAATAGCATGAAGTTGAATGTTAATACTGGATTACTTAATGCCATTTAAATTGTTTACATGGCTGCTACCGTTGTGAGCCATTTGTACCCGTAGAATGAGCTGTTGCGCTTGGCCTGGCCAGGCGAGCTATGGAATATACCTATCGCTTTCGCCCTCGATGCGTCGCACTTTAATTGAGCTGAACAAAACGGTGGCATAAGATATTCCTCCCGCCACGCCTCTCCGAGGAAAGTGTGGCGCCGTCAAGCATGAAAATAAAATAATTTTGAACTTGATTTTGATAAAAAAAAGTAATATTAAATAACTTTCTTAGTTTATGTTTGTAAATTACAATAATTTAATAAAGTCCCCCCTTAAAGTCCCCCATTAGAAGTAACAGCAAAAAAAACTGGAAAACCAACTTAAAAATATAAAGTCTTTATCCAACCATCCGTTATGCCGTCTGGGGGGCAAAGCCACAGCCATGCCCCATGTGTAAGCTGCAATTAGAGCTAAATGAGAGACCGCTTCTGGTTCGATCGGAAACTTCCGCAAAGATTTTTACGTTTATCTCAATGTCAACAGCTGGAGAGATGAACGAACTTTTCGGATATGAAACCGAATATTCCTCACAATCAGCCAAACAAAAAGGCATAAAAAGCCCGACCAACAGTTTCAATAATTGCATACAATTTGCCAATCAACGCGTTCCCAACGATGCCAATTATGGAATGCCAGGCCCATGCTCAGGCCCTTTTCCTCATATTTCCAGCCCTTTGTAGGCCTTTAGTCTTTGGGCCAGGCACTTGGCCATGGCTTATGAAGCCATTCAAGTGCCACTTCCCTCCGGCACCCTGTAATCAGGCTAAGGAGGCTGGGGACGAGGAAGCGCTGCAGCCCGCAGTCGATGATTCCCAAAAATTGATATTTTATATATGTAATGCGAGGCAGAAAAGGTAAAATAATAACCACTATAAAATTATAAAGCGTTGGCTGCCAAAAATTAAGCAAAAATTTATTAAAAGTGCATAAAACAGAGCGCAGCACAAAAAACTGGATATGCCAGCGGCAGCTGAAGAGTCTTTGGTTGGGGACGGGGGAGAGCCTGTTGCATTATAAATGCGGGAAAGAGAAAAGTGGCGCGTGACCTTCGCACTACTGAACAAAAAGACCACTTTTAACGGCCACCGACGTCAAAAACTGCCAGCCTGCCAACTTCCAACTGCAACCTGAAACTGAAGCTGGAGCTGGAGCCGAGGCTGTGTGTGAGAAATTATTGAAGCAGCGAAGAAACCAAAACAAACATGTGCGGTCTCCAGGGGAAACGCGATGGAGAAGGCACTGTTGTTGCAGCTACTGTTTGCAAGGTGCAACATCGAACTCGAGATGCACTTGACGAGCTGGTTAGGAGAAATATTTGGCAACAAAAAGACAAACAAATAAACACTATGCATTACATGGGGTGACATGTATTGGATTTTAAGGAAAGGGGTCCCCCGTTCAAGTCACTTAAAATAACTTCTAAAAATCATAGGTCAAAAGTATAACTAAAACCTGCCGAGTTGCTCCATAAAAAAGTTCTATGAATAAATTTAAAGCAGCAGTGCTTAGGCCACACATATATTCAAATTTTTTGTTTACTGACGCAATTGAAAAATTAATTAATATTTTACTAAAGTCAACTTTGTCTTTGGAGCTAATCTTTACCTACTTTGTGTCTCCGTTAAAGTTCATAGAGTCATAGTTAAGTGTCGGTTTCTCGGGGATCGATATCCTCCCTGTACATTTATGACTGTAGCCCCTGTAAATCCCATTGAATTGCACGCGAGCAACATGAACAACAGATCCCAGTCTCCAAGTCCCAGCTTCCAGCTCCCAGCAGGTGCAAGCGGGAGAGCTGATTTCGGCAAATGCCAACGAACGCGGCCAACTTCAGTGGCCAAGCAACCTACTTCTGTTTCCAAGTCGGTGGTGTGCCAGTGTGGCAATCGAAAGTGAATCTGGGAGACTAGACTGCAGAGCTGCAGCTACACCTAGACAAATTAGATTAAAGACTTGCCATTATTAGCATTTCGAAGCGAACGAATCAATGATCTCAATGTGTATCAATTTCTCGCAGTGCCTGGAATCGGGTTGGGTATCGTCGTCGGCTGTTAGAAAGCTTCGCTGGCTTAGCTGGACATGGGGCAAGTGGCATGTGGCAGTTGCAACACACATCCAGTTGCCATATACACTGGAAAGGTAGCTGCGCAGCGTTATAAAAGCGAATTTAGGTCAATCAAATTTCGCATTTGGCATTTTGAAATTTCTTTACGCAAATGCTTGTGCTATTTTTTAATGATTTTCTAACCATACCAATCCAGCCCAATGCAATCCAATCCTGTCCAGTCTCTCCCGACTCGGCGGTATCTCATTTGGGTTGCATAATGGGCCAAAGAAGCCAGCCAGCCAGCTATCCAGCCAGCCAGGTGACCAGGCCGGGGCCAATAAGCACAAAATTGTAAAAAACTTGTTTCACTTTTATCTTTTTCTCCTCTCCGATGTTCACAGCTTTTTTTCTTCTTAATGGATTGGATCTGGCCGTTGCGGCGCTGATGAGGCGTGAATTGTGTGAAAGAGAGTGTGCCACAAGGGGTTAATTGACGGGGGAGTGCCCCGAAATGATAACTAATTGCTTCGGGGAACTTCCGACTTTGGGGAAGTTCGAATGAAGTCGTTATCCAGAACCTTGTGGCATTATTCCTGTTTCGATGTCCTTTTCCCTTTCCGTATACCCTTGAAGGTTTTTTGCGACTCTGTTTTTTTTTTTTTGGCATGAAGCACAAACGTTGGCAAATTAAATGCGGCCTTAATTATTTTATGCTCATTAAGCGCACATCCAAATATTTGCCACAATTTAAGGCTCTAGAGCTCGGATCTCGGCAGCAATTAAAAAAGATAAAAAGACTTTTAAGGCAAGCAAAAAACCAGAGAAGAGTCTGGAACAAAGTACAAAATATAAATGTAATTAATTGTGTTTAAATATGTTGGTCTTTTTCAGTTTCAGCTGCTTCCCCTATGCTTTACACAATTCTTTTCATAATCCAAAATCGCTCAATTGTGACAGCGGCGCTGAAACAAAAAAGTTTAACTAACATTTCAGTTATGTCAGAAGTCAATTAAATATAATTTGCCCGCACTTGAGATTCGGCTCAGTCAAAGTTTTTCGGCCTGACCACTGGCTAAATGCTTAAGAGTTATGACCTCACACTTGGCGGCGACAAAAAATAGATGTGAACGAAAGTCCACGCCAAGCATCAGTCCAAACATGCAAAGTTCGCTGCCTAAGTCATTTGTTTTTCTCGCCGTGGAATTTCTTTTCCCGGGTAATCTTGACTGCATTATCTCCTGCTTGCCGGTCACGTGCATCAACCTGAGATTTCATTGCGCTTCGAATTAACTAAAGACCAGTGGGCTCTTCACGTTTTCTGGACCCTCCAATGATTTCCATTTTATCTGCATTTTTAATTAGTTAGAATATGAAACTGTGTCGGTGGTAGCGGGATAATTAGCATATACGCTTATTTTTACAATGCAGGGTTCCCCTGAACTCACGTAGCGGCGAGTGACAAATGTATTTACATCTCAGAGCATTTATCAGCCAACGAGCTAATAAAAACATGTATTATTATTGTGTTGGAAATAAATTTATGGCACGATTCATTGCGGTTTCTCAGTAGTGCCGCTCGCAAATCTCCAAAGGAGTGTGCCAAGGCTAAGACTCACATTATTTGGCTGGCCAAAGAACATCTTCGCAGCCGGAACTTTGAGACACTGACCCCAGGAAGTACTTGACCGACACTGCAAACTAATTACTTATAATTGCCATCTATAAATAAATATGTTGAAGTTGAAGTAATCCACCCCAACGAGTTTGTTTTCACTTATCCCCCCGACAGACTTGAATTATGGGCTTGGAAAAACATTACCTGCGGTACGGACGCACTGCCAGAGATCACCTTCTCGACTGGGCCATTTGTGGGCGTGGTAGTCGGCAACAACAACAGCAGCAGCAGCAGCAACATCCACATCAGCCTCTACAGCAGCCGCAACCACAGCAATCCCAGACATCACAGGGACCAAATGCCACGGGTCGGAGGTCACGACCGCATGTGTCGCACAGGGGAACCCCGCTCTCCATGCTGATATCTAATGGAGTTAGGATAAGCAACCGTAAGTACAGTCCACTTAATTATATGGAAGAACACTCCAGTCATTTTACTTTAGTATTCACTAGAAAAGTACTCGGAATGGAATTTTCCAAAATGTTTATACATTATTTTTTTTTTCTTTTAAAATATTATAATCTATTCTTTCTGTAAAAGGATATGATTTCGATGGCAACTCCTCAGATCTCCTCAAATCTGTCACCTTTGACAATTGGCAAGAAAATTGAATTACTGAAAAATGTTATTAAATGCTCAATTAGCCAACTAAAAGTCAATATCAAGCGCCAAATCGGTCTTAAAGCTTGTTAGGTTGGCCAAAAGCAACCACCTAACCAGTTGCAGTTACCCGACTCCCAGCCGATTGATAGATAGCTCAGAAATACCGCAAGCATTTCTGTATTTTTCGTATTTAATACGAAACTAGTCATCCAAGAACTGCAGCCGAAAAATTGAAAACTGAAAACGAGTCTCGGCCGAAAGGAAAAACCAACCAGCTACTGGCTAACAGCGAAAACGACTTGAAAACAATTTAAAGGCAATCAAGCTGAGGGGGCAGACTTGAAAACTAAAAGTTTGAAAACGAAAACAAAAACTAATAGTAAGCTCAGATGTAAATCAAGGAAACACACAGACACAGAAGTCGGAGAGAGACTGTAGCGTGTTCTTTTTGCAATGGCCGACATTGCGTATACGCGGAGTGTGCCGGGCCAGCCGGGCCACACTAAGTCGCAGCTAACTAAGCCCGCTGTCGAAGGCAGCCGAGTGTGCAAACAGCCAACAAGTAGCAGCTAAGTAGCCATGGCCAAGAACACTGGCCAGACAGAGACGGAGACTATCTGAACTTGGCTTAGACTGTGTGCGCCCAGGCTCCGTTTGTTTATATTTTGCTTTTCTATTTCTATCTCTACTTCGATTTTAGTATTTTCAGGTTTCAGTTTCACTTGATTTCGATTGCGTTCTAAAGCTTTTATGGCAGAATTGTACTTTAAGCGTTTTGCACTTGGCTTTGTGGCCATGTTGGCCAAGTGCCTTGCTATTGGACTTCCAGCCTATGACGATGCTGCCAATTATGGCTGTTAACTGCGGGTACTTCTGAGACGTGATGATCGGATAAGGATTACCACTTGACAGATTTAACGCTGGTTGAATGGCATTTAATTGAGCCAGTCTACTGCCCAGCATCTGGTCAGTATTGCTTCTATGTTTATTGAGGAAGTCGTTTGTCCGATCTGGCTGGTTCTGCCACGATTTTAAATTCAAATTGGTCCCACTGCGCCCGAGAAATTCAAATGCAGTGCTCACGAATACTTCAAGCGACAAGCCAAATAACAACCCACAATTGATACTCTGGCCAGCAGCAACACTAGTCGCTACTAACTGCCGTACTAAGTCGCACCACCACAAGCTCATTCACAGCAAATATGAAAATGTTGCCAAATCAATAGACAAGGCCTTAAGACTCTCAGTTAAAAGAGGTCTTAAGAGGCTATTCCACTGCCAAAGAGAAAACCCTGGGATTACTGTGAAATAGTTTTCAGATATTTTAAATATCATTTTAGTTATCAATTACACATTAAAGCTCTAACAACCCATTTTTCCCAGTGCACCGTGTCTAGCCAAAATGCTAGTTAGTAACTCACTCGTTTCCTGAGTGTATTCGAGGGTCTATCACTGCAGCTTCGAGTGGCCGCGGACATGGCTGCGAAATCAAGTAGCCGCCGTGGATGCCGGATCGAGTGAGCTCGAGCATAAATTAACACATGCAGGCTTTGTCCGATTCTATATCTTTGCTCTTCTGGGAGGGGAGCAGAGGGGGCATGGTTTGGACATTCGTGTGTGCTCAGCCCAAACAGAAAAGGCGCGGTGGTTGCTTGCTGGTGGTTTCACTTGGCGGCAATGCAGCTCAAGTGGCTCGAGAAGAAGAAGTCCCCAACTGCATCGGGCTCTTTAGAAATACCGGGTCTTCAGAGTACACACACTAACAGTATATGTGTGTTTTGCGATTATATAACCAGATGCTGGCATTAAGGCCTTGCCAAGATCGTGCTTTAGCTTTTCGGTTGCTGTGCGTTGGAATTTTTAAGATGTTGACACAGAATTTGGCAAATGGAAGTCATTTTCATTAGTTTTTGAATATGTAAAGACCTGGTAGAACCGAGCTGAACTCCGATGGCGAGCTGATTCAATATCACCCCATTGAGACTGAAATCTCAGATGTCCCAGCAAAATTTCCATTGTTGTGGGTTTCTCCCCAATGGGTCTCCTTTCATCTGGAGGCGTACTTTCCAGTTCCAGTTCCTAACCTTCGGCAGCCTCTTCTCGTGTACTTTTTCCGCTTCTTATCCAGAGCGAAAATCAGTTGTAAATGCTTTAATTAAGGGCCGAGACGCGATAACTTAAATGCAAAATTGCCGCGAAGGCACGTCCCAGTGGCCAAAAAACAGGTTTCAATTTGTTTGTTCGTGGGACATGCCCATTGCCCTTTGTTTCGGCTAATTGGGCATCCGAGGGAGCCCATTCCTCGACTCCAGATCCCAGCACAGATCGATCGAAGGGTCGGGATCGGCCATGTGATGCAAATTGTTGCGCGTATGAGGAAGTGTATCGGCATCCCCCAGAATCGCAATTATTTGCTTAAACAAAAGTGTTTACATGGCTATAAAATACCCCAGCGTGCAGAAGGAGGGGCAGTCGGATCAGGTCTTGGAATTGTTATTATTATTGTCATAGTGCTCGCAAGCTGTCCCGGCACGTTCTTAAACGAAATCTCCGGCAGCAGTCGCGATTGTTCAGCTCCGGCATTGTCTATAGAAATTGAATTTGAAATGGTGCTTTGTTGGCAGCGAAGTTGGCCAAGAGCTGCAAAGCAGCTGCAGCCTTACGGCCGGTAATTGTGAGCGTTAATTTTAACAGGCAATTGGGAAATTTGCGCTTATTCTATTTCGTCTATGTTTTTATGTTTTGTTTTGAGAAGGCAGACCTCCCAGCCGGATAGCTTAAGTATTTCATTTAAGCCATTTCAAAGTCTTTTACTTCATTTACAAGGTGGCAGAACTATGTGTTTCTCTGCCTATTTTTTTTTTTTTGTCAAAATACGAATATCGCGTGCTCAGCTGTAATTCTTAAAAGAAACGAGCTTGTGACACCATGCGCAGTGCGATTAAGGCAGAGGCTTACTAAGTATTGCTCTTCAAAAAGCAGAGAAAAGGCCTATAGAAGCCAGAGGCACATACTTTTTAGGCCCCCTTTTTAGGCCACCTCTGTCCAGTTGTAACTCAACACTTTACCTGCTGTATGAACAGGTAAACGAAATAACAGAGACGCACAAAACACAGAAACAACACAACATGAAGAAGCAACAACATTCGCTTACATGACAACCTAGAGCCCAGAGATCAGCATAATTGTCAACAGTCAGTCAGTCAGTCAGCCAGTCCCGCTGACGTATCAATTGTGTGCCAAATGTTTAGTGACCATATCGCAATGCCCAGCCCGTACACTCCCCTCCCTTTACAGGTTGCAATCGCTGTTCGATTGCTGCAACATTATCCGCCACTTGCCAGATAACCGAACGGCCGCATAAAGCCTTCCGTTCAGAGACCGCCGGCCTCCCTTGACCTTCAGCGATCGTATAGCCGCCCAAAAAATGTTATGTGCTTTTATTTTATGACATCTGATGTTGTTTTTTTGGGGGTTTTTACTTCGGTCGGTCACTCTCCTTTTTGCGTAACTTTCTCTGGCTGGAGTTTACGACTCGAGCTTCTTCAGGGTCAGTGGAACACGATAAAGAAGCCGCCCGAACTTTGCCTGCAAAAAAAATAATATACACAAGTAATCCGACTATATTTTGACAGCAATTATCGCGCCCAATTTCAATACGAGTTTAATGAATTTCATGCTGATTTATGGCACTCACAATGTGGACGTCTGTCCCCCGACTTTATAGGTATTGTAGGTTTTGGGAAAGGGTATAAAAGATTTAACATTAAGTTTGCATAACTCTTACTATACCCACACATCTTTATATTGAACAAATTTCTTTAAAATAAATTTTTTATATAAATTCTGATTTTAGTTCTGATATTATATATTATTTTGTAGCTGTGCACAAACACTTCCTTCCTTCGTTTTTTAAACCTTATCGTTCCGTGCTGACGGCGCTGTTTTGACTTACTGACCTGCAAAAAATAATCGAAGCAGCGCCGTATTGCATTTTATAAATTAATAAATAATAAATAAAATTGAAATTCATGTTTCTTCCAAAAAAAAAAAACGCTTCACCTTGCACTTTTTAGCCTGCAGAGTGTATTTTTTGCCGAAACCGAGAGCCGAAAAACAGTTTTTCTTGATTGGCGTGACGATCGGTTCGTTGACTGCTCTGGTCTGGGGCGCTTGGACGCCACCACAGATACTGAGATACAAAATTACTAAGATACTCAGATACTCGCAGATATAGATTCGATAGCCATTTAGGCCGAAACCCGTTGGCATTGTACGCCCATCATCATAATCATCAGCGGATCCGTCAAGCGACATGCATCTGGCCACGCCCACCTAGCCGTCCGGGCTAAGTGCATAGGCCAATTAACGTTGCATTGCCGGACGAGCAGAGATTAAGTTTCAATTAGTGATAACAGAGGATCGTAAATTTTGGCAGCTGTCGCACACATGTCCGTCTGGATGAGATAAGTCGGCCAAGACCGCGATCGAGATCGAGTGACTGCCCACAATGTCATCCGAAAACCCCATAGTGTTGACCGTTGTAATTGAGTGTGACATCCGTTAACTGGTCCCTTGAAATTCTGATGAAATTTAAATACATTTTTATTTATTTGCCAATCGAGATTGCGTAAAAAACTGATCATAAAAAGGAAGATGAGTCGGCAGGTTATCGTTCAATGTGTGTACTTAGTGGATTTTATTTTTAAAACTTGTCTCAAGACTCTAAATTGGAAATCTGATTCTTATTTTTTCAGATAGACTAGCTGTGATAATTATTGGTATAATTACCTTAATCCTAGGCATACTTTTATCATCCATACCCTGGCTGGATTATTTTATACTCAAGGTAAGACCTGTAATTGAGCATTAATAGAATTATGGATTATATCCTGGAAATGTACTCACAGAACTTAAGGCTGTGGAATGATACGCTGAGCTATCATTATTGGCAGAGGCCCGGCGTTATCCGGCTGACCAAGCTCTACATCTACAACGTGACCAACCCGGATGGCTTCCTCAGCGGCGAGAAGCCGAAGCTGCAAGAAGTCGGTCCCTTCGTCTACAGGTAAGCCATAAATCGCGCCAATTGCAGCTTTCGTTACGCCTTTTCGGACGTGCCGCCCAAAGCCCACATGCATAATTGAGTGCATAGATAAATTTTCATGCTGACTTCGTCATGGTTTGTTGGGGGGCCGATGGCTTAATAACAGTAATTAGAATCGCAAGTGGCTAAAAGCGAAACAGAATTGGCTAAGATCCCGCTGATTGAACTACTAGAAGGGTTAATTGTGGGCTGCGACTTGATTTATTTCTAGAGAGAGAAATTAATTAGTAGCTGCCAGATGTACTATGATTTCGTGGGTGTTTTTAATTCGCAAACTAGTTTGGAGTACTTTGCTTTTAAGCTCTGATGATAATTGCTCATAGAGGCCTTCATATTGGCAATTGGAATATGTTTTGATTAATCAATTAGCCAAAGATGGCTTATCAAGATCAGATACTAGAAACTGCCCACCGATTGTTAACACCCCAGAACACACAAGTCAACTGCAGTTGGCTGGAATAGGCAATTAGTTGGCCAATTAAGCTCGGGGCAAGCGAGTTCCGCCTATTGCATAATTGAGACAATACTTTCTTGAACGATAACCCGAGAGATTTCAGCTCAAATGTGATTAATCGGCAGTGATTACTGAAGTAATGTGAAGATGTAATGGCACAAGACACAGCAAGAAATCGAGGCCCAAAGTGTCTGTCATCCGCTGCCACTTTTTATGCTCATTCCATGTCATTTTTTGGTATGAGGCTTCCCCGACTCTCCGGCCGAAGACTGAACTTGACATTCGATGGGTTGCCCTGACTTTGGACCGCGAGCCGAAGGCCCAGACACGTGCCGATGGATGATAATGAATATTACGAGTGCCACCGTGAATGTGAATGTAATTTTTCTTGTTTCATTTCCCTTTTCACAGAGAAGACATGCAGAAGGTAAACGTGAAGTTCGACGAGAATAACTACACCGTGTCATATCAGCATAAGAAGATACTGCAATTTGTTCCTGAACTGAGTATTGATAAGGACACGCCCATAGTCACGCCCAACATTCCCCTGCTGGTGGGTTGTCACCAAGACTTTCTCCTATATTTTCCGGTAGTAATATGACCTCCACCCTTTTCCAGACCCTCACCAGCCTGAGTCCCAAGCTGGGCTACCTTCTGTCCAAGACCATATCCGTGGTGGTGTCGGCCGCCAAGTTTAAACCCTTCATAAACGTAACAGCCGAGCAGCTGGCCTTTGGCTATGACGACGCCCTGGTGAGTCTGGCACACAGGTTCTACCCGAAGCATATGAGGCCCATGGAACGGATGGGCCTTCTCCTCGGACGCAACGGCACCCTCATGGAGGTCTCCTCCATCAAGACGGGCATGCAAAGCATGGACCAGTTTGGTTACATCGACTCCCTTAACGGCATGAGCCACCTGCCGCACTGGAACGAAGAGCCGTGCACTAGTATCGCCGGGTCGGAAGGGTCCTTCTTCCCGCCGCGAGACCTCACAAAGTCCGATATGGTCCACATCTACGACAAGGACCTCTGCCGCATCATTCCTCTCAAGTATGTTGAGCGTACGGAGAAGGACGGAATCTCCGCGGACCTGTTCAGGCTGCCAAACAACTCCTACGGCGACGCCGCTCACAATCCCGAGAATCGGTGCTACGACACAAGCGAGTACGAGGCGATCCAGGGCCTCCAAAACATCAGTCCCTGTCAGTACGGGGCGCCCGTCTTCATATCGAATCCACACTTCTTTGAATCCCATCCCGATCTTCTGGACTCCGTTGAGGGTCTCACCCCAGACCGGAAGAAGCACGAAACCTACTTCAAAATACAACCGGTAAGTTGGAGGATAGATATAAAGATAAAAGACATAAACTATTTAAACTATTAATCTGCATCCGTGGTAGAAACTTGGAGTACCTTTGGAAGGCAAGGTGCGGATACAATTGAATCTAAGGGTGACGCATGCCAAGGACATATATCCCGTGCGTGACTTTCGAGACTTTGTCTTTCCGGTCATGTGGCTGGAGGAGGTGAGTAATGGAAAAGACAAAAAATGGTTAACGCCTAATCGCTGGATCTTTTAGGGTATTTCCGAGCTGACGCCCGCCATCAAGCGCTGGATATACCTGGGAACTGTTATAGCTCCGCACGCGGTGCCCATTGGATCTTACTTGATGATTGCCGGTGGAGCCTTTGCCATAATCTTCAGCTTCGTCCGGGCCTATCAGAGCTTCGTGTTCGCCCAGGACCCAACACTGGAGATCCTTGAGATGGGCCGGCGGTCCTTGCGTCGCGGCAGCAGCTTCATTTGCCACCAGCAACACCGGCTGCTGCACCACCGTGACAGCTACTCCCTTCTGAGGCACGGACCCGTGGCCACCTGCCTGGGGGAGACGGGCCGGGAGGACGCCCAACCGATCATCGACACAAGCATGGCCATAAGCCAGGATGCATAGTCGTAGTCGTAATCCATAGGTAGTCCTTAAGGCGTGAATGTGTGCCTGATTGTGTGAGTCTGAAGCTAACTCTAGTATCGTTCTGGCCAAAATGGTGGCTCTTGTCACTTGTCATTATTCAACGTCCACATCGAATCAATCATTTCCACTTCCATTGCGATATCATCTAGCCGCCTACCATCGCCAATCGCCAAACGGGTTTGCTAGTTAGTATCTTGTAGATAGTCGTACATAAAATGCTACAAATAATTCACTAGTCATGTTTACAATGTGAAAAATGCGAGCGCTCATTTCTAGTTATTTTTAGCTGTAAGTCTCGTTAAGCTATAGCCACTAATTATATTGTATGTATTTGTTAAATAATGTCTAGGCTGAGGACAAACGAAATTATATGGTTTAAGCAAATGAAGGAGATTAAGCCGAGCTGCCTTTTCATTTGCCGGGTACTGTCCTTCTAAACTTCTGTAGACTACCGACCCCATAAATCCAAGTTCAGAACATAAATCTCCGTGTTAACAACAGATTCTTCTTCTCTCGCTCCTCCACAACAATTCCTAACTCTTATAAATCAAGGAAAAAAGAATAGCTCTGTAAAAATGCACTCGGAAATAAAACAGAGGCACAGTCTCGTACCCCTTCAAGCTTTCGTTGATTGACGCACTTTTGACGTTCCCACAATTCCTCTAACAACACACGCATACGGGTCGTATGAGCGATAAATTATACACAAGATCCCATGAAGGACTCCTGAGAAAGGGGGCGGTGGACTAGTTTAGACCGACCTTTTGTTTTCGAAATAAAAAACAGGCACAAGAAATATGATTTTTTTTCAATGTTGCCTAGAGTCAGAAGAGGCAAACACAAATAAAGAACAAGTCAGAAGGAATGCCGTCGGAGAAATCCGCAGTTTGGATTCCCTTTTCAATTGCTTCTAGATGGAATCTCTATTATTATGAATCAACACGCGTGTCAAAAAATTATGTTAATTTAAGATTTTTTCCCAGTTTATATCATTTCTATTCGCATCCAATCCTTATGCGGAATACCTCAAACGTTTTTTGACCAATTCTCTATTATTCTGATTGCAGACCCCTAAATAAAATTTACGATTAATATTTTCCCAATTATTAAAATCATGGACCTTAAAAAATACGGGCTACACCTTAATGACCCATAACTGTTTCTATCTATAAAAAATCTGTTTCTATCTTTTTCTATAAAATTATACCTTTGCCATTTTAAATCCGTTCCTAAAGAGGATACTGCATTTTGAAGATCTATGTATTTAATATTATTAATATGAGTCAAAAACTGAGTCGTTTAATGTTTTTCCCAATCTTCTTTGGATGCCTCTTAAAAATTCCTAGATAAATGGGCCATAAACATATTTATATGTATTCTAAAACGTCGTATAATTTCGATTAGGGAATAGATTCTCCATTATCTCCATAATCTACATTAAATCCTGCAAACGATTTTTTTTTAGATTTTTTATCTAATTTTTTGAATTGTTCCTTCAAAAATTCGAAAAATGCATGACAGTCCAAAATGGCCGCCATCGATGGCCATATCTTAGCCAATTTTTATCCGATTCTTGAGCGGCATACATTAAACGATTTCTAGATCGATTCTCCATCAATCTGCATCAAAATCCACATAAAAAATAATTTTTGAGATTTTTTGTCAAATTTTCCGAAGGGTCCCCTATAAAATTTTCAAAAATGCATGACAGTCCAAAATGGCCGCCATCGATGGCCATATCTTAGCCAATTTTCATCCGATTCTTGAGCGGCGTACCTTAAACGATTTCTAGATCGATTCTCTATCAATATGCGTCAAAATCCACGCACAAATAAATTTTGAGATTTTTTGTCAAATTTTCCGGAGGGTCCCCTATCAAATTCTATAAAAATGCATGAAACGCCAAAATGGCCCCCATCGATGGCCATATCTTGGCCAATTTTCATCCGATTCTTGAGCGGCGTACCTTAAACGATTTCTAGATCGATTCTCTATCAATCTGCGTCAAAATCCACACACAAATAAATTTTGAGATTTTTTGTCAAATTTTCCGGAGGGTCCCCTATCAAATTCTATAAAAATGCATGAAACGCCAAAATGGCCCCCATCGATGGCCATATCTTGGCCAATTTTCATCCGATTCTTGAGCGGCGTACCTTAAACGATTTCTAGATCGATTCCCCATCAATCTGCATCAAAATCTAGAAATAAATAATTTTTGAGATTTTTTGTCAAATTTTCCGAAGGGTCCCCTAAAAAATTCTGAAAAATGCATGACAGTCCAAAATGGCCGCCATCGATGGCCATATCTTAGCCAATTTTCATCCGATTCTTGAGCGGCGTACCTTAAACGATTTCTAGATCGATTCTCTATCAATCTGCGTCAAAATCCACACACAAATAAATTTTGAGATTTTTTGTCAAATTTTCCGGAGGGTCCCCTATCAAATTCTATAAAAATGCATGAAACGCCAAAATGGCCCCCATCGATGGCCATATCTTGGCCAATTTTCATCCGATTCTTGAGCGGCGTACCTTAAACGATTTCTAGATCGATTCCCCATCAATCTGCATCAAAATCTAGAAATAAATAATTTTTGAGATTTTTTGTCAAATTTTCCGAAGGGTCCCCTAAAAAATTCTGAAAAATGCATGAAAGGCCAAAATGGCCCCCATCGATGGCCATATCTTGGCCAATTTTCATCCGATTCTTGAGCGGCGTACCTTGAACGATTTGTAGATCGATTCTCTACCAATCTGCATCAAAATCTAGAAACAAATAAATTTTGAGATTTTTTGTCAAATTTTCTGGAGGGTCCCCTTCAAAATGTGGAAAAATGGATGAAGGGCCAAAATGGCCCCCAGCGATGGCTATATCTTGGCCAATTTTCATCCGATTCTTAAGCGGCCTACCTTGAACGATTTATAGATCGATTCTCTACCAATCTGCATCAAAATCCAGAAACAAATAAATTTTGAGATTTTTTGTCAAATTTTCTGGAGGGTCCCCTTCAAAATGTGGAAAAATGGATGAAGGGCCAAAATGGCCCCCAGCGATGGCTATATCTTGGCCAATTTTCATCCGATTCTTAAGCGGCCTACCTTAAACGATTTGTAGATCGATTCTCTACCAATCTGCATCAAAATCCAGAAACAAATAAATTTTGAGATTTTTTGTAAAATTTACGGAAAGTCCCCTTTAAAATGTGGAAAAATGGATGAAGGGCCAAAATGGCCCCCAGCGATGGCTATATCTTGGCCAATTTTCATCCGATTCTTAAGCGGCCTACCTTAAACGATTTGTAGATCGATTCTCTACCAATCTGCATCAAAATCCAGAAACAAATAAATTTTGAGATTTTTTGTCAAATTTTCTGGAGGGTCCCCTTCAAAATGTGGAAAAATGGATGAAGGGCCAAAATGGCCCCCAGCGATGGCTATATCTTGGCCAATTTTCATCCGATTCTTAAGCGGCCTACCTTGAACGATTTGTAGATCGATTCTCTACCAATCTGCATCAAAATCCAGAAACAAATAAATTTTGAGATTTTTTGTCAAATTTTCTGGAGGGTCCCCTTCAAAATGTGGAAAAATGGATGAAGGGCCAAAATGGCCCCCAGCGATGGCTATATCTTGGCCAATTTTCATCCGATTCTTAAGCGGCCTACCTTAAACGATTTGTAGATCGATTCTCTACCAATCTGCATCAAAATCCAGAAACAAATAAATTTTGAGATTTTTTGTCAAATTTTCCGGAGGGTCCCCTATAAAATTCTGAAAAATGCATGATAGGCCAAAATGGCCCCCATCGATGGCCATATCTTGGCCAATTTTTATCCGATTCTTGAGCGGCATACATTTAACGATTTCTAGATCGATTCTCCATCAATCTGCATCAAAATCTAAAAATAAATAATTTTTGAGATTTTTTGTCAAATTTTCCGAAGGGACCCCTTAAAATTTTTGAAGAACGTTGGGAGAGCCAATAAGGCCCGCATCGGTGGCTATATCATTGCCAATACGAGTCCGATTTTTAAGCGGAATACATTAAATAATTCGTGAATAGTTCTCCAGAAATCAAATTCTTAAAACAAATTTTTCTTGAGTTATACTTTTAGAAACCTATAAGACCCTCAGAAAGAGTATAAATAAGCTTTGGAACTGGAATCAAAAGAATGAAATTTCATGGCAGGCAGGAGGCAAGCGGCACGGCACAAAGTTGTAAGAAAAGCGTTTTCATTTCATTTGGCAAAAATGTTTATACAAAACCAATTTTACAATTTTCGATTCAATTTCTGCTGCTGACATTTCACTTAAACGAAAACCTTAAAGGCGCAATATTCCCTTTGCTTTTCCCCTTCCCCCATTGTGGGTATAAACGTAGGGAGGTGGTTTGTTTCTTCCATGAAAGTTCTGTGGCAAAAATCGTGGCTGAGATATTATTATTAAACTCTGGATGAATCTCCGAAAAGTTATTCGGCTGCCTAATTACCCCAACACCTCTTAGAAATCCATAAACGGCGAGTGATAAACTAATATTCGCCGGAACATGTGCTGCCAAGGGCGTCATAAATGTTGCCACACATCCACCCCTGCGGACTCCATCTCCAGCCCCTCCTTGTCCAATATGCCCAATAAAATGGCCGCCAAACCTCAAGGACAACCAAAGTTAAAAATTCGTTTATGGCGCACCATAAAATCGAATAAAAACAATTGGCACATGAAAATCCACCCGAAACAGTCGGAGATCTTCATTGTCGTTTTCTAAGGGGGTGGCTTTCCGATTATCCGGTTTTCCGTGAAAACTGCGTGAGTACAATTGGAAAAATTGCGGCCATATGCTGCAGGCAGCCAAATATGTTAAAAGAAATGGTTCAAGTAAATAAAAACAATCACAGGAGCTTAGCCAAAAGAGGCGAAGGTTGTATGGTCTTACGCTTTGGCGAAATATAAAAAAATTCCTTATATAGGCTGGCATAAAACTTAAAGTCTGTAAATTAGCCTTTTTTACTTTTAAATTTTTTTTTAATAATAAACTGACAGCTTTCCATATTCGAAAAAACAAGAAAGAGTATCCCCAAGTAGTATCCCCATCAGGATTTGCTTTCTGTTCACCGCTGAGTGTCGAATCTTGGCCCGATTTGCTCGGCGTCAGCTTGTTGGCCACTTAGGCCGTGATGGAATTGCTTATGAATTATACAAGAATATTAAAACGTGCCCGGGAAAGCCACTTGCACTTGCCGGGATATTTCAATTGCCTCCCCCAAGAACTTGGAGCCTTGCTGTAAATACTTTATTGGAAAAGTATGTGCCAAATGGTTATTGAGTAGAGGGTTGAGGGGGCGGTTCCGGCCAGACTCGGCGCAAACAAATTGGGCGCTAAGTTGCCGTTATTGG